TGAGACTCCAACTCAAAAAAAAAAAAAAAGATGACTTCCTAGTTTGGCTAAAAGGGTTGATTGACTTCAACACTAATACAGTGCCTGAAACGTGCCTGGCCTTGCACACACGCATGTATTTTAAGCGGGCGGACTTTCTTCGTCTTCCCCCTACCCTCCTCCCCGCCCAGGAGCCCTTCCCCTTTCCCGCCAGCTACCCAAATCCTCTGCCCTTCATGGCACAACCCAAGACCCGCTTCCTCTGCAAATGAGGCTGGCCTCTGCCCAGGGGCACTCCTACCACTACCACTGACCAGAGCTTCTGGGGACAGCATCACACCCTGTCTCCTTCGCCCACATTCCTGAGCGTCAGCTCTGCCTGGTGCCCGGACACAAGGCAGAAGGAGCAGAGCCCCCGCTGCTCAGGGCATGCTTCCCGGCGGGCGGTGGGCGGGCCTGGGTGCTGTCCCCGAGGAGGGCGGGCGTACCCTGGACTGGGTGCTCTCCAGGGCCACGCGGGCCTGCTGCTCCATCTGCCGAGCTGCCTCCTTCTTGCCCTGCAGCTCCTCCTGCAGCAGCCGCCACCTGAGCAGGTGATCGTGGTCCAGCTCGACCTGGGCCTGCAGCTGGCTGACCTGGGCGTCCAGCTCCAAGATGGTGCGGTCCCGCTTTGTGAGCTCCTTTTCCAGCTCCGACACTCGCTGGGGAGGCAGGGGACAGAGAGGCGGCCCAACCTGAGTTTGTATCTTCCCCACCCACTCTCCCCCAAGCGACGGCCAGCGGCTCACTGGGCCCCCAGTCCAGGCAGGATCCAGCCACTGTGAGGAACCCCGAGCGTGGGTCTGGGGCTGGGTTTGCTGAGGGCGATGCTGCCTGACTCAGCAGGCTGGCCCAGTCCTGAAGACATGCCGGCCTCATCTCGCCCTCGGACGTTCTCCAGACTTAGAGCAGGGGCAGCGCCCGCCAGCCCTTCCGCAGTGCCCAGGCCGTCACCTGTCGGAGCAGGAGGTTGTCCTTCTCGATGAGCCCTATCATCTCGTGGTGCTTCTTGTCGTCTCGTAGGTTGGAGAACTGGAAGGAGACAGAGAGGTGGCTTGAGGGACTCCCAGGGTGAGATGACCAAGCGGACACTGGCATCTCGGTCTTCCCCCTCCTGAGCCTCCCTAAGATGACAGCAGCGGGATTTCTGCTGGAGACCGGAGGGAGAGGCAGAGTGCTGGGAACATTCTAGAGGCTGCAACGCAGGCAGCTGAGAGGCATCTGACGTCACGCACGTGAGACAGCCTAGTCCTCAGCCGGGGCAGGCAGAGCTGAGAACAACCCCGCTCACACCTGAGTTCCCAAGACTTGGACATTGGTGGCGGCACGTTCTTCTAAACACGGAGGCTGATGAGGGGGCTGGGCGGGATGTTTCAGAAATGGAAGAGTCCTGGCCTCATCCTGGCCTTGAGCTGCGGGTCCCTGCCTTCTCCACCCTAATGGAGGCCAGCGATGGGCCTCAGGCCTGAAGCCGCGAGACCAGATGAGGGTGGAGACACAGCCCTCTCCCTCTCTAGAACCCCATAATGAGGCCTTTCCCTTCCAGGCAAGACATTCCTCCAGCTTCCTAGATTTCATGAGATCTGAACAAACCAGAGGGAAGACCTACAACTGTCACCGTTAGAAACTCTATGGACATGCCCAGGCATCCCACTCCCATCACAGAGCAAGGGGCGGGGGTGCCTGTGTGCTCAGAGAGTCCAGTCAGCTGATGCTGGAGCAAAGTTCTTGAGTGAATGACAGGACAAAAGCAAACTTGAAAAGGGACTTGGGCGGGTGCAGTGACTCATGCCTGTAATCCCAGCATTCTGGGAGGCCAAGGCGAGAGGATTGCCTGAGTTCAGAAGTTTGAAAACAGCCTAGGCAACTTGGTGAGACCTCGTCTCTACAATAAATCAAAAAATTAGCTGGGCGTGGCGGTGCATGCCTGTAGTTCCAGCTACTTGGAAGGCTGAGGCGGAAGGATCGCCGGAGCCCAGCAGGTCGAAGCTGCGGTGGCCGGGAGCGGCCACTGCACTCCAGTCTGGGTGACAGAGTGAGACTCCAACTCAAAAAAACCCAAACTTGACAAGAGGGCTGTTGATAAAATTAAGGAAATCATCTAGAAAGTAGACCAGAAAGACATGGAGAGGAAAAGTAGGTGGAAACAGATGAGAAGGAGCCAGAACTAGAGGTCCAGTAGGCTAATAACTGGAGTGCCAGCAGGAGACTCCCAAGAAGACAGTAGGAAATAAAAAACAACATAACCAAAGAACATTCCAGAACTAAAGGACACACATTTCCAGATGGCCACTGAGTGCCCAGTAAAACAGAGGAGGATATACCCTCAGCAAGGTACAACTTTGGGATGTTTCAAAACACCTGGGACAAAGACAGGCTCTTGCAATTCTCCAGAGAAGAACAACCCACCCCTGAGAACCATGTTATAGGAACAAACAAGAACAGGTGACCTTGAACTTCCCACCAGCAACCCTGGAAGCTAGAAGACAGTGGAGCTGTCAAGAAAGAAAGATGGCTGGGCTCGGTGGCTCAACCTGTAATCCCAGCACTTTGATTGCCTGAGCTCCATGGGTTTGAGACCAGCCCGGGCAACTTGATGAGACCTCATCTCTACAATAAATGGAAAAAAAAAAGGCTGGGCTCAGTGGCTCAGCCTGTAATCCTGCGCTTTGGGAGGCTGAAGTGAGTGAATTGCTTGAGCCCGTGGGTTCGAGACCCACCTGGGAAACTTGGTGAGACCTCATCTCTACAATAAATCAAAAATCAGCCGGGCATGGTAGCGTGCGCCTGTAGTTTCAGCTACTTAGAAGGCTGAGGCGGAAGGATCGCCGGAGCCCAGCAGGTCGAGGCTGCGGTGGCTGGGAGTGGCCACTGCACTGCAGTCTGGGTGACAGAGTGAGACTCCAACTAAAAAAAAAGAAAAAAGAAAAAAAAATCAGCCAGGTGTGGTAGTGGGCACCTGTAGTTCTGGCTATTTGGAAGGCTGAGGTGGAAGAATCGCTGAAGCCCAGTAGGTTGACGTTGCACTTACGCCTGGGCGATGAAGTGAGACTCCAACTCAAAATAAAAAAAAAAAAAGAGAGAGAGAAGGATGTGGGATGCAGTAGTTTTAAAACTGTGGTTTATCCACACACCTTCAACCAAGTCATCTTCAACAAAGCCAACGCTAACACTGGGGATAGGAAACCATATTTAGCAAACAGTGCTGGGAAAACTGGCTTAACCACATGCAGAAGAATGAAACAGGACACCTACCTATCACCATATCCAAAAATCATCTCTAAATAGATCAAAGACCTAAATGTAAAACCTCAAACTCTAAGAATCCCAGAAGAAAACGTACATTGGAGTAGGCAACTGATTCTTGACCAAGTTTCCAAATGCAATTGCCATAAAAGCTAAGAGAGACAAGTGGGATCTCATCAAACCAAAAGGATTTGGCACAGCAAAAGAAACCATCAAGAAGGTAAAGAGATAGCCCACAGAATGGAAAAAAAATAGTTGCGAATTATACATCTGACAAAGGCCTAATGTCCAGGATGTACGAGGAACTCAAACAAAATAAAAGGAAAAAAGCAATCCCATTACAAAGCGGGAAAAGGACATGAACAGACACTTCTCAAAAGAAGGCATCCAAGTGGCTAAAAAGCATATGAAAACATACTCAGCCTCACTAATATTCGAGAAATGCAAATCAAAACCACAGTGCGATGCCATCTCACACCAGTCAGGATGGCTGTCGTTAAAAAGTCAAAAAACAACAGGTTGCAGAGAAAAGGAAACGCTTCTACACTGTTGGTGGAAAGGTAAGCTAGTTCAGCCTTTATGGAAAGCAGTTTTCTCAAATAACTAAAAATTGAGCTACCATACGACCCAGCAATCCCATTCCAGAGTACACCCAGAGGAACATAAATTGCCACACCAAAAAGGCACCTGCACGTGTGTGTTTATTGCAGCACTATTCACAGTAGCAAAAACCCGGAACTCACCCAGATGCCCATCAAAACTGGACTGGATAAAGAAAATGTGGTACATATGCACAATGAAATCCCAGGTAGCCATAAAGAACAAAACCATGTCCTTTGCAGCAACATGGATGTAGCGGGACACCATCATTCTAAGGGAACTATCACAGAAACAGAAAATCAAATACCGTGTATTTTCACTCACAAACGGGTGCGAAACATTGAGCACGCAGGCACAAGGACAGGAACAATGGACGCTGGGCACTGCTAAGGGAGGGGGGAGGGAGGGAGGGAAGATGAGAGGTATACAGCCACCCTCTGGGTGCCAGGTACGCTACTGAGAGAGGGGCACTCCACAACTCTAAAATAATAAAATATGTTGTGGTTTATGATTTTTTTTTTTTTTGAGTTGGAGTCTCACTCTGTCACCCAGGCTGGAGGGCAGTGCATGCTCACAGCCATCGCAGCCTTGACCGGCTGGGCTCAGGCAATCCTTTCGCTTCAGCCTTCCAAGTAGCTGGAACTACAGGCATGCGCCACCATGTCTAGCTAATTTTTTGATTTATTGTAGAGATGAGGTCTCACCAAGTTGCCCAGGCTGATCTCGAACCTGTGGGCTCAGGCAATCTTCTCACCTCAGCCTCCTAAAGAGCTGGGATTATGGGTGTGAGCCACCATGGCGGCCGGTTTATGAACCTTAGTATCGTTTTGTAAGACTTTTGTCTCAGTCACATGTGCGTGCTACAAATGACAAATGTCCTGATGACATCAGAATGGTGTTGATCTCACTGACAGTGTGACCGAATGACATTGGGAGGAGGGGTAGAAAGGGTGCCCTGTGTTTGGGGGAGGGGAGCAAGAGACAAAAGAAAGAAAACATCCCACGATGGTAAGGTGGGGACACGTCTAGACTGGCCATCACGGACATGCTATAGAGATACGAAGAGAGAGTCCCAGAGAATCTGCTAGAAGAGTTGAAAGTG